TTCTATTATACCCTCTATATACTTTCTCCCTGGGGCTGAGAAAGGGACCTTGGGGCTGAGTCCCTTCCTAGAACATCTTCAGACTGAGTGGTTCTCAATCCAGGGCTTGGGTGTCATATTCCCCAGGAGTCACATGCCCTAACTAAACCTAATTTGAACGAATTTCTTAAACAGCACAGGCAGGCAATAAGGTGTCATCCAGCTGTGTGTGTGTGTGTGTGTGTGCTTTATTCAATAGGGTAATATTGAGCACATGAAAGAAATGGATGTGTATTCTATCAACCTGTCTTTCCATTCACTTTTTTCATTCTGCCGATTGGTTTTCTCATCCCCAATGCCTCTGCCAGAGCTATGCTCACATTCATTATTTAAGATTTCTTTTAAATAGAAATTTGGGCATATAGGATAAATAAGATCAGAAAACAATGTTTCATGCATACCCTTAGCTCATATTCCCTGTTAGGAATCAAGGTCAGAGTGGTATGTTTATATTCCTTATGACAGCCGTCTGAAAGTATCTACATCTTACAGGGAAGGAAATGAGGCCTAGAGAAGAGAAATGACTTCCCTAGGTTTGCGCAAGACGTGCGTGGTGGCGCTGGGGTCAGCATTTGAGTCTGCTTGCCTTCAAAGCCCAGGCCTACCCCCTGCTTCTTTTGTGGTATCTTTTTGAGAGCACAGGGGTAAAAACAACCTTAACTGGTAAGTGCTAATCAAAACCTACAGCAGTGGCATTGGGCGGAGTGTTTTCTCACGTCATTCTCTTGTGTTGATTTAAGGCAGTTGCAGTGGCTCAAGCATTGCTTGAAGGGTCTGTACTCAGGGTTGCTGTGTTTGTAAGGCACTGGTGAGTTGTGTGTGTGTTACATATATTTAATATTAAGGAAGCGTGCACAGCAGTTGCCAAGAAGTGAGGCTTTTGATTTTTATTTTGAGCAAGAATGAGGTAATTTAAATAACGACTCTATGGGATTTGTCTGAGACTTGGTTCCTCCCCACTGTGGTAGTAGAGGCTACTTCCCAGTAAGGCACTTGTTAGAACAGTGTGTCAGCCCATGTGTAGCACCCTATGGGGAAGTAATTAGTTGTGGCATACATTGCTCTTTAATGGGATTTACTGATGACATGTTTTTTCCATTCAACTCTTGCTTGGCTGCCGGAAGGAAGATGAATAGTTGGTCGGACCATCACCCGCTGTGAATTGCAGTGCTGCGATCCTCAATGATTCATTTTCTGCCTCTACACTCTTCACATAGACAATTCCAGTAACATGTCGTTTACAGTCTTGATTATTAACTGCAGGTAGGAAGTTATGCCATCTTGAGGCAGGTGACATGGGGTAAGGAGGGATGAGCCATCCCAAAGATGTTCTGGTGTGTTGACCTAGGTGAGTATTGGCCATGACTTTGGATTGAATCCTGGATCTGCCACTTCCTGCCTGTCTGGGCAAGCCATTTCAATTATCTGAGCCTCTTTTTAAGTGAGGGATAATAACTATAGGCAATTGATACGAAGATTGGAAATGGAAATGAAGCACCCAACAGAGTGTCTGGTACAAGAAAGGGTGGTAATAATGAGGTCTAGACAGATTAAAAATTGAGTCATACCACCTCTTTTCTCTATCTCTAAGTGACTCAGTCTCAGTATGTAACTTGTAATACGAAGATTAGAACAATACTTCCTATTGTGGGTTGAACTGTGGCCCCAAAAAAGATACATTGAAATTCCATCTCCATGTATCTGTGACTGTGACCTATCTGGAACTAGGGTCTTTGCAGATGTAGTTAAGTTAGGATGAGGACATACTTGATCAGGATAAGCCTTAATCCAATGACTGGTGTCTTTGTAAGAAGAGGGAAATTTAGACAGAAATACAAACACGGAAGACACATGCAAGAACGAGAGCAGAGATTGGGGCAGTGCATCTACAAGCCAAGGAATAAGAATTGCTGCGGCCACCAGAAGCTAAGAGGGAGGCACAGAACAGATTCCTCCTCAGAGACTTCAGAAGGAACTGATCCTGCTGACACCCTGATCTCAGACTTCTGGTATCCGGAATTATGAAAGAATAAATGCCTATTGTTTTAAACCACCGTGTTTGTGGTAATTTCTTATGACAGCCCTGGGAAACGAATGCATCTACCATTTGGGGTGGTTATGAGGGTTAAATGATGATTATGTAACACACATGAACGAACCATCACAGTTCTTGGCACACAGAGGCCACATCAAGTATTGGATCTTTAACCTTCAAGTGTCAAGACACAGAAAATGGACTCTGAAAGATGATGGTGACATAAAAACCTGTCCCAGGCCAGGCGCGGTGGCTCACGCCTGTAATCCTAGCACTCTGGGAGGCCGAGGCGAGAGGATTGTTTGAGCTCAGGAGTTCGAGACCAGCCTGAGCAAGAGCAAGACCCTGTCTCTACTAAAAAAAAAAATAGAAATTGACTGGACAACTAAAAATATATAGAAAAAATTAGCTGGGTATGGTGGCGCGTGCCTGTAGTCCCAGCTACTTGGGAGGCTGAGGCAGAAGGATCGCTTGAGGCCAGGAGTTTGAGGTTGCTGTGAGCTAGGCTGACGCCACAGCACTCTAGCCCTGGCAAAAAGAGTGAGACTCTGTCTCAAAAAAAAAAAAACAAACCTGTCCCATCTACAGATTTGTGGGTGTATACAGAGAGAGACCCAGAACACAGCAGCAGCACCCGGATGGGTGGATACTATACCTCTTTACTCTCTCAGCTCTTAAGCACTGGAGAAAGCTGCTTACCTTCTAGGTGTTGGGATATCCATGAACTTGGAAGGCGGTGGTTTGGGTCATGGTAGAGAGGGTGGGGTTACCTTGCATGAAAAAGCAGGTGGGTCCATCTTGATCCTTAGATGTAACAGAAACTGAAACTAATCTTCAAATAAATTTCCAGTGAGGTCTTGATTGGTGATGTTAAGAAAACCTCTCCCTTTCCTCGTAGTGCACACGGGGCTGGGGACTGATCGGCTCAGGGCAGGGAGGCCACCTGTTCTACCCCAGGCTGTCCTCACTGCTGGACTAGCTGGGGACAGGTCCTAGTGGTCCTTCTCCATCCTGGCCTCGTGGAGGACCTCACAGCAGGACAGGCTGTTACACAGCAGTGTCGGGATGCCACGTGGGATAACAGCCTGTGAACGATGCTGTGAGCAGGGCACTTTGTAGGCCTTTGCTGTAGGTGTTTTGAGTGTATGGTACCAAGAGACTGGGAGGCAGTATAGAGCAGGACTCCATTTCCAAGCCAATTCTGAGGCGTCACTGGGACATCCAATAGAAGGAGAGAGGGCAGATAGGCTGTGGAGAGAGATCAGGGCCAGGAAGGAGAAAACTAGAATACCTGTCAAGGTACAGACTTGAGCTGCAGGCTGGGGGGGCACCGGGCAGTGCTACTGTCAGCCCTGGGGTGGAGGATAGGTGTGGACTCTGCAGTCGAGGCACATAGGGTCTCTCCTAGGGCAGGCACAGGACAGCTGGTAAGGGAAATGGAAGTCAGAGGGCCGCGTACATTCTAAAGCTGAGGTCCAGCCAAAACACAGGAGGAGTGATGGGTTCCACTTGGGGTGCTCCAAGAAGGTACTGTGGATGCTCACCCCTGGGGGCTAAGGCAGACTCCATCTGGCACAGGTGGGATGAGAGGAGGCTCCACTGGAGGAGGAGTAGCCCAGTGGGGGTGTGGCGGAACCCCAGGGCTGCTCTGGGAAGGGCGAATAGACCAGCTGAAGGTTTGGTTGGGAACAGGGCTGAAAAGGAAAGCAGAGCCCACAACGTGAAGCACAGTGAGCGTGAGGCCGGGGTGTGGACTCTGCAGGCAGCAGGGATGCTTCGGAGGGTTTTGAGGGCGAGAAGGGCTGCTGCAGGAGAAATGGATGGGAGGGAGGCTAAGGAGGCATTCGTCTCTGTCACAAAATTGGTGGGATCCCCAAAACCCAGTAATCAAGATCAACATGTTTTAATGTGGTATTTAAAAAAAATCGATGCCCCCCAAATCTGCGAAGAAGAAAATATCAAAATTTCAAATAAAGACAGGATCCTACCCTGCAGTGGCTCAACCCGCCTGGCTCACCTCAGCCCGGGTGCTGCCCGCGGGGGGACGCGGGGAAGGCACCGCAGCAGCCAGTGCTGAGGCTGGGTGGTGCGGGGAGCCCCGGAGAGCCGGGGGTCTCGGCGGCTGTCCAG